ATCCTGAAATCAAATACTTCAGCCGTCTCCAGAGCTGTTTTGCAAGTCTGCAGTTTGGTTCTCTAGTTTACGAGAAGACGGAACGGAGCACTCAGCTTTAAGTACTTTTGTAATACTTTTTTTATTTTTTTAAAGAGATGATTGGAAACTGTTGCGAATTTGGCTGGGCCGCCGATTTGGGTGTCACTTGCTGTTTGGTTTTTCACACTTTCGACATTTGCAGTTTGCTAGAAAGGGAGTCAGCTTTCTATTAAGCTGGTGCGTCTGTGCGCCTAGGATGCACGCGATCCGAATGTCCTCAGACGATCCGGCCGTCCCAATTCGCAGCTCGTCTAGACTTCCTGCATATCCGAGCGCGGTTGCTGGCTGCCAAAATTTACATGCAGCCATCGAGTGCATACCGGTCCATCTTCGCTGAATGGGCTATCTTTTGCTCCTTTGATGACAATGACGTACGAGATCGCTCAATTAGTTCAATCCGTGTGTTCGAAAAAGCAAATGACCTCCGGAGATTTAGCTGAACTTCAGTTTCGCAGGTGATTTTGCGGGGTTCTTAATAAGTGTGGAACAGTATGCAAATAGGAAACGATCCAATTTGGTTTACAAAGTTCCCGCTCACTACTTACGTACTTCTTCCTTCAAAGTTTGTACGGCACGTTATGTCAGGCCGTTTGATGCCGGATGTTGGTTGGTCGCTTTGATATGTTTGCGCTTATTGGTGGTAACGAAAGTACTGAATTCACCGTTGGTCAATGATGAACCATTATCTTTGCAACACGATTCTAGGCTGATAAATATAGCAAATAAGTAGCGCATTAGAGCAATGCTAACTACAATCGTGTTTAGAGCAACTAGATGCACCTCAAACTATTTAAATGTGCGTCGGTAAGTCGAATAAACATCGTTCCGGTGATCGGTCCGAAGTAGTCGGACTTTGTCCGTTCCCACTCTAGGGCCACCGCCAGGAGTGAGCTGGACCTAGAACTTTACTAGGTTAAGGTGCCGGACGAATATCGAAATGCCCCAATAAATTATCTGTCTGAATCAGTTTTGCGCTACTAACAATATGCAAATGTTAATGGTTTAATCCACTCCACAAGTTTCTGTGCATCATGCGGCTCTATAAGAATCTGTGACCAGCAAAAGCCCAATAAAAAACAGCCGTCGCATAGACAGCTCGTTGCTGATAGCCATAAATGGTAGTAGGTCCGCTGTTCCTTCAGAAGGCCAACCTATGGTCAAGTAACGTTTTACCGTTGAAAGCACTGGGTCGCGGTCCGTCCATTGGCAGGTTGTTGCTATTTAGGTTGGTCTTATATCTTGATGTTGAGTAAATTAACTAGTTTATTTTGATGGACATGTAACTGTACAGCTTCAGTTATCGATAATAGGCTTAATGATTGGGCTGTATAGTATTGACGCTTGTAACATCAATCATCTCGTAAACGTAGGTAATCAAAATTACAGCCAACCACTGCATTCTTAGTGAGACTACTTCATGAATGCCTTTGCTTTCACGTGGCACTGATAATAGGAGGTGTACTCAGCGTGTAGCGCAAAAATAGATCTTCAGAGGTACTGGTAAAATCATTTTACCAAAAAGATCCCAGCTACCACTTCTCCATCCAATTGTAAAATTATGCTTTTGCCCTCTTTGTAATGTGTACAATACGAATGCCATGAGTCGCATGGATCTATCATTTTCACGGTGGCAGAGAACAGCTCAGACCTCAAAGCGGTGGGTCACAATGAAGATTAAGTGGTTTATACGAATCATAATGAACTAGTGGTAGTGGTGCTGCAAGGGCTTCTTTTTATCTTTACTGACGCTATCCCTTTGACAAAACCTATAGAACCATGGTAATTTTCGTGCAGCAATTTAATTAGCGGAGACAATATTATGGATAACTTGCACAATAAATTGAGAGACTATGGTAAAATTTCCAAGAACCAATGCAGTTCATCCGTGTTCTTTGGCTCATGACTTTCTATAATAGGCTTCACATTGTAATTAGAAACATACTAAGCAAGTTTCTTCATTTGGTAGCCAAGGAATCAAAACGAAGAGAAAAAGAATTCACATTCTCTCCTTAACATAAACCAACTTCGTTCCAATTGGTCGGGCGCAACAGCAAGTGTTTCATGATGTTCTGCATCACAGCGTTCCTAGCTGAGGATATCATCGCGATAAACATAAGTGATATTTACGTATTTTACTAGGTTGTTATTTCTACTTTGGGAGATGCAAGGGGTTGAATTATTGCTAAAAGGCAAACAAGGATTTTCTAAAAGTTCCTAATAAATGCTATTTGTAGTAAACTTTTTGATAGGTTCGTCTAGGTCCATCTGGGATTACATATGACTAAGGTTAAACCAGAGTTTCGTACATATCTTAGATGCTTGGCGATGAATAACAAAGTAACTTGGGAACATGGTTAACAACAAGTATTTAGTCGCCACGAAAAATGTATGGAGTTGTAGGGCTTGATCGTAGGGACAGCTGATTTAGCTTAATCAGCAAATTTTACAAGCGTAATGAAGCCTTAGGTCTGCAATCAGAGTTAATTCTCTTTCCAATTTGGACTTCACTGCGTGTGGTTTTGTGCGTGCCTTGATGATTTTGGGCCAAACTTATCGTAGCCTGTAAATCTTCAAATTTCCCCTGCTCTTTGGCAGCAACAGCTAAATGGGACTCTATTAATGATTTAATCCCTTGAATCTCAGCGAAAATTTTACTGGCTCCAGCAAACCCTTAAATTCTTTTAACCACTCCCTTCCCAGAAGGCATGGGTGATTTTGGGATACCAAAATATGAACGTGCGCTGTTTCTGTACTGAACTTTTTGCCAAACATTTACCCAGGACACATAAGCCTTCATCGTTATAGGCGCAGTGAAAAGAATCGCAAAAGCATAAGGGTGACAGCATTTTTAAAGAGCTATCAATACTTATCTGATTGATGCTCTGGTATAGATTTGCAGCTGCAAAATTTGTCTCTTTATAAGAAGCTCTAGGGTGGACTGTGTGAGCCGCATGTTGGGAGTTGTATTCAACTATTTCAAATGCACTTTGGACTCGCTCCACCGTGTTGGTCTACAAGTTTAATGGGATTTGTCTCAAGATAACTTCATTAAAAGCGACGTTCTGGCGATCTGATTATTTGCGCCAAATGATTACTCTTCACAAAACCCGCATATGGACTTTGCTGTTCACAGTCGGATGGAGAACTATGCTGGCACTACAAAGATGTGGCTCATCTTTTGGATTTTCCCGTCTTTATGCGATTTCCCCCCGTCGTCAGATGTCAGCAACTAGGCACTACCCGTAGTAAGTTACTAGTAATAAGTTGACCGTTAATCAATAAGGAACATAAATAATTTAGAGCTACAAAAAATTTACACCTCTTTAAACGAGGCAAGATATATATCCGACTTGCTGCTTAAAAGGAAGGGATATTCACTGCCGGAAATTAATATTTATCTTTGATTTTAGGGCGGTAACTTTCTTCACTCTTCACCAGCACTTAACCGCGTCGAGCAGCGCAGCTTGAAGGTCATTTTAAAACTAAAGGTCGTGTTAATAACGCACTTAGAAAGTTGAATCATTAGACCAAAGCACATGGAAGATAACGAGCAAAAAAGCATTCTGGTCAGGCAAGGTTGCTATAGCAGGATGAGGAAATTACCGAGCCTCAGGTTGAAAGCCCGTCCTTGATTTACAGATACTAACCTCCTCTTATCATTCTTCTATGTCTATCCTTCTAGTTTCCACATGTGTTCTATATACAGGCTCTAACAAAACGTGATAATTATGCTCATATTTCATAACAGATTTGAAAGACTACATGCAACAGTTGGATTTATTGTACTTGATTTTACATGGGACGAACAGAAGGGCTTACTTGGAATGTAACATCTCTCTGCGGTGGTTTGTCAGGCCAGACACTGGAGCTGCTCCTAACTGAATAATTCAGCGTACAATGTGATTTATGCCACCTTTCTACTTCATCAGTCTATAGATTGTTTTGTGAGACCAACAGGAAATTAAAAGGAAAACAGGTCGCATTTAGAGTCAGCTTATATTTAGACAGCCTTCTGGCCGGTATTATTTGTGTGTTGCAACCTTTTACTGTGGAGTGGATTAGTAACCCGATAACCTATTGAAATCACAAGAATTCACATACATTTGCACGGTGTTCATTTGCATTTTTTTAAAATTAAATGGCCTGACAGTCCATGCGTTACTTGATTTCACAGCGCTGTTCATTAGTCATTTTTGGGTTGACGAACCAAATACCAAGAAGTTAGACACAAAAGAAGAAAATTTGCTCAATGCTGCTGAAGCAGGCACATACTAGTGTTTCTGTTCAAACCACTGTTACGAACTTGCTTTGTATGTTCAGTTAGTATCCATTACCTAATGTGATCGGTCGCTGCCTTTTACACAGAACATGGTTTGTACAACATCGATATGGACACATTAGTTTTCTCGGAGTTTGTCAACACTGAACCTTATCAAAATAGTTCCAAGTCACTATTGCTGTCCTTCACATATTTTTGAGAAAATCGCAAGACACTACGCATATGGAGATAGAATGCCCCGATTGGAAATCTAGCTTGGAGCACTTCTCTATGGACAGGTTGTAGCATTAAATTATTCTGCCAGAAGTGTTTAATAGTCGTTCTGTTTATATTTAATATTTATCAAATGTTACATGTAGGCATTGTTCATTCGTCATTCTTACGAGTTCGTAGTTCTGAGAATGTACATTCAGCTCACTCGCAGTCAGTATTATAAACTGCTAGCGTTGTGCATATCTGACAAATAAATATTATTGACTTGCTTTGACTACATAAATTAGAACTCAGATATAAATGTGATAGAGCAGTATTAACAAGTAATGATCACAGCTATCGGGTTACGTGTTACTTAGTACAGGCAGGTTTACCTTGAGTTAGATGTTTAATAAAACTTTGTATTATCTTGCTGTGCAAATTTTAGAGGAGAAAAACGGTTACAAAAGTAAGAACATTGAACTATCTACTTTTGATAAATGAACAATGATAAATGAACAATGCGAATAATGTTTTACCTTAACCATCTTTGTACCAGTCGCATCACCGATCGGTAAGTGCTGCCCACCATGTTGCTTTGAATCGGCTATAAATTTATAAGCCCTGTTCTGGTGTATGTTGCCACAATGTACTTATAAATTTATCAACAGAATTGTAGAAGTCTAAAAACTGTCATGCGCGAAGTTTCCGACTTTCAAATAATCACAGACGTTATTAAACAAGACGCTTTCTTCGGACCTTGTGAACTTGGCCCCATAGAGTTTATATCTGTGGATAAACATAAACTCGGGTTATGAATTGCATCAAGAGCAAAAGTGATAATATGTTTTATGACAATCATCATGTAGACAACGCCGGAATCAAGTCAAGTGTTTGTCAAATGTCAGCGAATATACTACGTTCCAGAAAATTTTCGTCGAATATTTTATTGAAAAGTGTCATTGCTAAACTTGTCTATATTGTTCTTCACAACGTCCATCCTGTGTACAATAATTCACACAGACATTGAGGAAATCTATGAAAGTGAGCTTCATATAAAAAGATTACATTACTGTTCCGAAACATGTCATCGCTTTTATTTGCATCTTACATTCCACCAATTTCATGCAATCTTCTACAAACAAAAGCATTTGGTTGGGATATTAGGAGGTCGATTCCGTTTTTCGTTAACATTTTATCTTTTAATTTTTCAGTTTAGGTCAAATTAAGTCATCTTTTTGTGCACATTTTCAGTATTTTCATACTAAAACAATGCATTGTTATACAACAATTTACCAGTGAGATATAACAATGAACAGAATTAAAAAATGTGCATCTTCAATCCAGTATACGTTTATTAGTAAGTGTGATAGAAAAGGCGGAATAGAGTTTCGATACGATCAGATACACAAATTTATAACTTTAAATTTTGACCATGTGGATGAATTAAATATAGTGCTGGCTAGAAAATGGTGTAAAGGATAGGTAAAGTAGTTTAACATTTTACATGAAGATTAGGTGAGTGCACCGAGAATTCTGTTAAATATGAAACTTATGTATATTTCTAAAGATTAGTGGGTCGATAAATATAGTCTAGCAAACGGTCAATAAGGACGCAATATTTTGGAAGCTGTCTTGGAAAATGAAATGGGGAACCATATAACCATTGATGAAGAATACCTGCAGCCACAAACCATAGAATTAACCACTGGGAACGGTACGAAACGTAAGTCAGAAGGCGCAAATTAGAGACTTCTAACTTTTAGTAATGTTTCAGTAATATATGTAGACCAAGCTAACTTAGAAAATAGAAAATCTCCTAGATGTGTTAATGTAGTGGTACGATATATGCTTTGGTCTTTCACAATCGTGAGAAGATACAAATTTACAAGGGTATCCATTATTTTTGATGTGGAAAAGAAAATTACCTCCCAGCACTTGGAAGGTTTAGAGCGAGAATAACCAGAGTCTGTAGCCAATACACTAATTCTCCTAACCCACATTGGAGCTTTCAAGAGTATTTATGTTTAGGGCCATGCAACCCAGAAATACGTAATAAACATATTCACAACGTGCAAGGTTTGATGGATTAGAGAACAGTTCAACTTAGGCGGTGAATCAGAAGTGGAATAGCAGGCTCCGTGCAAAACACCACAATTTCTCGGGAGTACAGAATATTTGCTGCCGCACAGCTGGGTGCAGTAGGCGCGATTGGTAAAACAATCACGCAGCACAGTGCACAAACTTGCAGAGAAATATTATCGGACCAACTATTAGGGTATAGTGATCAGCCGATACTTATTGAAGCTTTGTGTAGACAAGATATAGTAGCCGTGCGCCCTTGATTCAATTATCCAATGATAACGCAATGGAATGCACCAGATGAGGAACAACATGCCTAGCAGAGCGCTTTGATTTATAGACAGACTGCTTGACATCATCAATATAACTGTCCGTGTAAATGCGGCAGATCAGCAGTTTTTAAATACCTTAAGAAGCGCGGACAAGCACACAACCCTTGATATATCCGTGATCATCTTAAGCTAATGTTGTTATGCTGGCTGATTCCCAATGTCAATATTTAAGCACCGATACCAATATTATTCATATTAAGCAAACTAAGTGAAAGCAGGTATTTGTAAGAATGTGTAATTAAGTGCCAGATATGGGAAGCAGATAACTTTACATATCTTTATTTACATTTGGTTGAATCAAAAATATTTTGGAGCAAAATAGTAAATCTAATATTTCAGACATCGTTTCTGAGTTATGAGAGTAACTTTGTGTCGAGTAATTTGCCATCAGTCTTCCTCACACAGCAAATGAGGTCGCGCGACCAAACTTACTTCTAGTTTCGAGCTAGGATTGCAACATTGATAGCGGTACGAAACAGGCAGTAAAATACCTATGCAATTGGAGAAACCAGTAATGACAAACGTTTCTTCCTGCACGCTTTAATCAAAAGTTCAGGAGAAAAATATCGTCTTTTGTGCTCAACTAATTAACTGCTCTGTTAACGGATGTTGACCTAATCAGCCAATTGTCTGTTCATAAATTGTTGTAAACTAAGAAACATAATCATTGATCACACGATCTTATTGTACTGTGCCTTGCATTGTTGAGGAATATACCGTTTTACTAGATATTTAGTTAAAAAGAAAGTGCGCTCGCAAAAAACTTGTTAGTTTTCCCAGCCACATAAAATTCAGTAAAGCAAACCTAAAACGGCTTTGTGGGATTCAGTTAAATTGATATGCTGTGGCATTAGTTGCATAACTATGGGAATCCTAAACAGAAATCCGTCCATATTTGAGAACTACTTTCAGTAGAATCGCTTCCGGAGCCAAATGTTTCCATTGTGCTGATTCTGTGTGAAAAGCACCAAATCGGACCGGGATGGTTTCTAATCTGTTTGCGTGGTCAAGTTCGACGAATTTAGAAGATCATAGATAGTAAATCAAGTTACTAAAGGAACCTTAAGCCGTTAAGTTAAGCAGTCTAAAGTACTTAGTTTTAGCAACGGGTTACTGATCGAAACACTCAGTTGGCCACGATAGTAGTGTGGGCCGTATTAACCATTTTTATGGACAATTCTAGTTTCAGATAGGGCTGATTGTTATGCTGGACAATAAACGAGAGCTACCTTCGGGACACACGCGGAAAGCATTCAGGTAGTGAACAAATAACTATTAACTCATTCCTACATGCTGTACGGCCAAATTCAATGGCGGTACAGTATTGAGCTAGTTGAGGACCTCATTTATCATTTGGAAACCGCGCCAGGATGTTCTCATGGATACGCTGGGGTGGGGGTCTGTCAGTGCAAACCAGCTGTTTTTCACAGCAGGGGCAAGAGCATTTCTCGTTATTAACTAATCGAGCTCACTACTCCTCCTCAAACGGCTCAGTAAAGTCGGCCCTCATTGATTGTAGCTGTAAAACATCTAGGAATAATTTAAACAATCCACTTAATAGATAAACGCTCCCTGCAGTGATTCCAAAGGCAAATCTAGTTTATTGCCAAGGTTATTTACATCTACCAATGAATCCAGACGTATGTATACAAAAACCACTCCTATGGCCGATATTACTATCCTGGCCAGCTAAAATGGTTACGGAGTACTGTGTTATAGCCTCAGCTATTTACTTTGGACAACTGAGGTTAATGCAATAATATTCCTTTAGTGCACTTGGCCTACCATCTGTAGTATTTTGCAGTCAGTTCCTACCCGACTTGACGCTTTATAGACTGGACCAGCTCAAGGTAAACGCTGGGGTCCAACGGTAGTTTGCTGAAAAGTATTTTAACCATAGACTGATTTCTGGTCTTGATCCATGGTATTGAAAAGGGGATATTTTATGAGTTAAAGATGAACATTGCCAGTAGTTTATATTATGGCTAATAGGCTTTTAAGGAACTACAGCTATTTATTTTATCGCATTTTACTTATACTAAATTATAAAATTTCTCAGTGAAATGTTTTGTCGAACATATTAAACTATGTAGCTTACCCAGTTCCTTGGCAATTTGGAGAACAGCAGCTGCAACATTGTTCATTAAATATTGCTGCGGGCAAGTGGCATATCACACACTGAAATACTTCAATTACTTGAAGTCGCAACAATGAAAGTCGCAACAATTAAAGAATAACAAGTTAACATCATGTTGCACTGTAATATGCAGCGCCTATCTACATAATTGCTGAGCAAAATATTAGTTATTGTATTTTCAGGAACTATATAAGGAAAGACTTAGCTGGCTGGTCATAAGGTACAAATTGACATCCTTTTGAAATTACAACCTTGTTTGCAATTTATTTCTTTTCCTAATCTGCATATCTGATTCATTGTAACCCCACTTCGGGATGGATGAAACGCAGGGACTTGTCAGCTTCGTTTCATCGAATCTGAAAGGAAAGAAAAATAAACACGCAAATAAATTACCAAGCAAATTACAAATACAACTGTGCAAAATGACTTTATTTCACTGGTATTTTAACTATTTTAACTAACAGAAGCACGCAAATAAAATTTAAGCGATAAAAACCACCCCGGGATTAGTCTGATATGTAAGAGATTTATTTAAATCTACTAGTTGGGTTGCCTGCTTAGTGTACGTGGTGAGTTATTGACGCAAATATAAATCGTAGACTTCATAATAAAAGAGCCCTGCCTGTGCAACATTTCTGTATGTCCGCGTCTCAAATGCTTTCTTGCATCTATGGGACAACTGGCTGGAAACGATGAAGCGATAGATGATTGTCAAAGATTGAGCCAATTTATTTAACTTTTTATGTGCTAAGGCTTTGCGTGGACCAGCTGCTTGCCATTTGATAAAGGACTGCGAAATAAGAAGTGGTTCTAAACAAAGACTTGGCTTCATTCTCTTGTCAACACATCGCAGTGCTTTGTAGAAGAGGAGTCCGTTAGAAAGAAATTGAACATGAGACCTAATTATTTGACCCAGGT